AAGAGTGCTATATGATGTTGTCTGTTGTCTGTTAACAGAACTTGCTCATTTGTCATTTTTGTCATGATTGATGTGTGCATCCTATGAGCATTAGTCCTACATGAGTTTTGAACTATGTTATACCATCTTTACATGGGTGCCATCCATGTATTTTTGTGAGTTGTGTATTGAGTGCATCAAGCTTGTTAAGTAGGGTATTTGCTGTTGCTATTTTGCTAGGCTGAATCTGTTATTTCGTGATGCTATGTAAACCTGCTGCTACAAGTCATTCTATGCACAATCTGGAGATGTTCACTAAGAATGTTTTGTTATACATGTCATTCTCTATCCATCCATGTCCCTGGTTGCATTTATAGCTTGCTGTAGATTATTGTAATCTTGCTCCAAAGTTGTTAAATAATGTTGTTGTCAGCCTGTTAACATTAAGTTCAGTTTTGCCATGTGATTTCCTAGTGATCCATGCACCCTATGAACTTTCTCTTGCCATGCTTAGCTTCTAAAACATGCCTTCTTACTTCTGGTTACCTTGCCATGCCATGTATTGCTCTGTGGTGAGTGGTACAAGCTCACCAACATGCCTTTAATATAATTTGCTATGTTTACATGGGTGCCATCATATCTTGTCCTTATTGGCTCTTGGTCAGTAAGGGACTCTTGTTCTATGCAATTAATAGATTCATGCCATGCCTTTGTTTGCCATGATAATTTCCTGTAATATGTTGTTTGATAGCTCTAAACATTGCAACCTGATGTTATTTCTGCCAAGTCTGAAACTGTTACTATATGCAATCTTGCCATGTGTGTTTGAGCATGTTGTAGTGATTGATAGCTCAGTGTTCATGTTTTGTTATGCTTTACCTGTACATCATGTCCATGCCTTTTGTTTTCTTGTTGAGGTCCTGTAGCATGTTGTTTTCATGCTTGCAATATGCCTAGTTGCTGTTTTGGACAGATTGTTGCTATAACTTGTATAAAATGTATGTTTTGAACCGTTGCTCCGTTTTGAGTGTGCTCTATATGAAACTTGCTTGATTTTGCATATAGTTTCATATTATCATGTTGCATCCTTGTTTTGAGGTGTTTGCTTGAAGTTTGTATGGATTTTACATCAATGCCATGTTTAACTTGTTTTGCTCATATCTTCTAGGCCGTAGCTCCGAACTAAATGAACTTTATATGTAACTTGACTAGAATCTCGTGTAGATCATCTTTGTGCATCTTAACTTTCTGTTTAACAAGTTGAACATAAGGTTTATTCAGATCTGGACCAATTTCTAAATATGCATATGAGGACTTACCGGAATTGATATATGTTGCTTCCGGCCTCATTTAAACTTGCCTTGATGTGTTGCTCTTGTATGCATCATCTCTTGCCATGAGTAGCTTCATGTAGTCTTGTCTTGCATCATGCTTGTTGTGCATCATGTCTTGTCTATGTGTGGTGTGTTTACCATGTTGTGTGCTTCTTCTTGTTAGTTCCTGTTTCGTTGCGATCGTGAGGATTCGTTCGTCTATGCTTGGTTCGGCTTCATCCGTTTGTCTTCTTCATGGACTCGTTCTTCTTCCTTGCGGGATTTCAGGCAAGATGACCGCTACCCTGGATCTCACTACTATCATTGCTATGCTAGTTGCTTCGTTCTATCGCTATGTTGCGCTACCTATCACCTGTTTATCAAGCCTCCCAAATTGCCATGAATCTCTAACCTTTGACACCCTTCCTAGCAAACCATTGCTTGGCTATGTTACCGCTTTGCTCAGCCCTCTTATAGTGTTGTTAGTTGCAGGTGAAGTTGAAGATTGCTCCATGGTGGACAGGGTTTTGTTGGGATATCACAATATCTCTTATTTAATTAATGCATCTATATACTTAGTAAAGGGTGGAAGACTCGGCCTTATGCCTGGTGTTTTGTTCCACTCTTACCGCCCTAGTTTCCGTCATACCGGTGTTATGTTCCCGGATTTTGCGTTCCTAACGCGGTTGGGTGATTTATGGGACCCCCTTGACAGTTCGCTTTGAATAAAACTCCTCCAGCAAGGCCCAACCTTGGTTTTACCATTTGCCTCACCACCACCTATATTTCCCTTGGGAGTAATTAACCCAAGGGTCATCTTTATTTTAGCCCCCCCCCCGGGCTAGTGCTTGTCTAAGTGTTGGTCCGAACCGGGCAGACTGCGGGGCCACCTCGGGGCAACTCGAGGGCTGGTTTTACCCGTAGGCTGACCTATCCGGTGTTGCCCTGAGAACGAGATGTGTGCAGCTCCTATCGGGATTGTTGGCGCATCGGGCGGCTTTGCTGGTCTTGTTTTACCATTGTCGAAATGTCTTATAAACCGGGATTCCGAGTCTGATCGGGTCTTCATGGGAGAAGGTATATCCTTCATTGATCGCGAGAGCTTATCATGGGCTAAGTGGGACACCTCTACAGGGTATAAACTTTCGAAAGCCGTGCCCGCGGTTATGTGGCAGATGGGAATTTGTTAATGTCCGGTTGTAGATAACTTGACACCAGATCCGAATTAAAACGCATCAACCGTGTGTGTAGCCGTGATGGTCTCTTTTCGACGGAGTCCGGGAAGTGAACACGATTTTTGGGTTATGTTTGACGTAAGTAGGAGTTCAGGATCACTTCTTGATCATTACTAGTTGACGACCGTTCCTTTGCTTCTCTTCTCGCTCTTATTTGCGTATGTTAGCCATCATATTATGCTTAGTCGCTGCTGCGACGTCACCACTTATCCATTCCTTTACCCATTAAGCTTTGCTAGTCTTGATACCCATGGTAATGGGATTGTTGAGTCCTCGTGGCTCACAGATTACTACAACAGCAGTTGCAGGTACAGGTTATGCGATGATCATGACGCAAGAGTGATGTTTGCTTGTTTTGGAGTCCTTCTTCTGCTTCTTCTTCGATCGGGGGATAGGTTACAAGTCGGCAACATGGGCTAGCAGGGTGGATGTCGTTTGAGTTTCTGTTTGTGTTTCATCCGTAGTTGGATGATGTTCTTATGTATTGTGATATTGTATTCGTGTGGCATTGTATGCCTCTTGTATGTATCCCCATCTATTATGTAATGTTGATGTAATGATATCCACCTTGCAAAAGCGTTTCAATATGCGGTTCTATCCTTGATGGGACCTTCGAGTCTCTTTAGGATAGTATCGCATATTGGGTGTGACAACCTGGGCCTCCCCCTGTCCATGCGCAAAACGGCCTCCTTAGTGTTGTTGCCGCTCGTGGACAAGCTCACGAGGAAGCTTGCAACTTGGAAGGTCGTGCTCCTATCTCGAGGCGAGTGCCTTGCCTTAGTGCGCCACGTGCTCACCGCCATGCCCGTCCACATTCTCATGGCCATTGCTATCAACCCGAATATCCTGAAAAAGATCATGCGTGTCATCCGCGATTTCCTCTGGTATGGCAGGCGAGACGCCACGTCGGGTAATTATCTGGTCAATTGGCCGCGCGTCTGCCACCCGTTGGAGTACGACAGCCTCGGCGTGCGTGACTTGTACCTCACCGGCATATCGCTTCGCTGTCGTTGGCTCTAGCTCAAGGCCACTGACCCTTCGCAACCATGGCACCATCAACAACTCCCGATCGACGACGTGACCGGCCATTTCTTCGGTGCCTCCACATCTTGGCACTTGGGGACGGGAGAACATACCTTTTTTGGAGCGACCACTGGCTCAACGGACAAGCCATCTCCAATATCGCCCTTGGCCTCCTATCCCTAGTGTTGCGCCGACACCTTGGTCTACGAAGGCGTCGTGCAGCGGGCTTGAATGAGCGACATCCACGGCACCCATGGGCCTTAGGAGGTCATAGAGTATGTTAGCCTTTGGCGCAAACTTTAGGGCGTAACCCTCACCTCCGCGCCTGATCGCATCTCTTGGAGGTGGACGGTGAACTGCACCTACTCGGCCGAGTCTTGCTATCATGCCCTTTTTCACGGGTCTACCACTCCGCTCTGCTGGAAGCTTCTCTAGAAGAGCTGGGCCCCTCTCAACAATAAAGTGTTCCTCTGGCTTGCGTCCCTCGACCGATGCTGGACGGCGGAGCGCCGCGTGCGCCACGGACTCACCCACGACCCGAGATGCATCCTTTGTTCCCAGGAGACGGAGTCCATAGATCACCTACTTTCCAGTTGCGTGTTCTCCCGGATCACATGGCATGAGATCCTCTCATGGTGCGGGCTCACCGCCCCTCCTATGGACGGCACGGCGACCTTCTTCGCCTGGTGGTCTCTAGCGGCCGAAACCTCTCGGGCTGCCTGCACAAAGGACTCAACTCCATCGTCGCCTTGACTGCTTGGGCCATCTGGAAGCATCACAACACAACCATTTTTGACGGCATCTACCCTCCACCAAAGATCTGGTCCTAACCATCAAGGAAGACGCTCGCCTCTAGGCCAAGGCAGGCGCCAAGGGTTTAGCTACCATCATACCTGTAACCGGACCTTCTATATCTAGGCTGAGCATCCTCCTTCCCCTGCTCATTGATGCACCCTCCCAGACGCCTCATAGTGTACGTCCGCGAGGATGCCACCCAATCAATGAAATAATACGCTGCTAAGCGTATTCAGAAAAAAAGAACTTCAAACACTGCTTTCTGTATTCCTTTTTCACTTTGAATTCAAAAGTATAACATCTGTATGAAATTGAAAGAAATCAAATATGCATCACTAATTAGATGGGGAGATACGCCAAAAAAGAAAAAACAGTTTGGTTCCGGTCTGGCGCGTGGCCTCATTTCCGTGTCCCCTACTCGTTGGATTCCAACGGTAGCTCACAGACTCGATCCGAGTCGGGAACGAACGCACATACCGAGGTAACTCGTGGACTCATCGACAGATTATATATACATAGCGTATTTCTTGATTTCTTTCCACGCCCACCAGCAGGAGCATTGCTTTCTTTTCTGGCGTTCGTCACATCGTCTCCATCAAACAATCTCGATCTCTCTCGCGCGTGGGCGTGGCGGCTGATCCATCCACGAAAACCAATGGCAGCAGAAGCTCTTCTCCCGCCGCTGCTCCCGACGCCACCCAGGAGCGAGATGCTGCCGATCCTCCCGACGCCGCCCAGGAGCGAGATGCTACCACTGTTGCCGACGCCGCACGGTGTCATCCTCACCATGCTGGTGTCCGCGATGGCAGGCCGCGCCGACTTCGTCCAGAGGTGGGACTGGAACAAGAAGGGCAAGAACTCTTCCTCGTCGTCGTCGTCGGGCAGCGAGAGCACCGATCGTGCCGACTCCGTCGAGAGGTGGGACTGGAACAAGAAGTGCAAGAAGCCATGCGGCTCCATCTGCTCCTCGTCGTCATCGTCGTCGGAGGGCAGCGGGAGCACCGGTCGCGCCGACTCCGTCGACAGGTGGAACTCGGACAAGAAATACAAGAAGCCCCGCACCGCCATGTCGTCATCGTCGTCGTCATCATACAGTGCCGGAGGCCCCGGGCGCGCCGACTCCATCGAACGCTGGGACAGCAAGAAGAAGCTCGCGACCTCGTGCAGCGCGTCCCTGCCCACAGATCGCGGCTGCCATGACGACAACAACAAGCGCCTGCCTAGCCCTAGCCGCGCGTCCTCGGTGGAGCGCTGGGACTTGCACAAGAAGCCTCGCCCAGAGCAGATGGAGAAGCTGCCTCGGACTAATAACACGGCAGCGACGAAGACACCGGCGCTAGCCACGACACCACAGAAGGCCATGTTCGCCGGGCCAAACTTTCACGTCTCGCCGGATCCGAGCATGCTCCCCATGCCGCCCCTGTTTCTGCTGGCACGTTCGCGTGCGCTCTGTACAAGTCATTAAGTCCATTACAGCGATCTAATTCCTTTCCTTTGTGATGAGGAGTAGTGCTGTACGTAGTAGGATGTGGAATTCAATCCCATAACTTCTTGTGATCCCTTTTGTTTCATCAATTCATCTCTTGGTGAAATATATAGGAAGGATGTTTTAATTTTCATGAATCTGTTCCTGGTCATTTTTCTGCAGCTTAATTGCATCAACTTTTAATGTGGAGCTACAACACATTTCCTTTTAATGTGCTGTAGCGTTCAACTTGAAGTGCACAGCTCCACTACCGTTTGCATGGATAGCAGATGAGTAGCTAGGTTTCGCCTGAACTCCTCTATTGCTTCCTTTTCCTACTGCAAATGAATGCAAACGCAGCTTTCTTCCTTATCTTACTATCATCATGTGTTCTTAATGCAATCAGAACTATAGTAAGCAAGGCGGTGCTTATTCGTGCATTATTACTTCATTACACATGCAGTTACCTATTAATTCAGTTATACGACGGCCGAGAAGCGAGATGCACAAACAGTTCTCGCAGAAATGAACACAGGGAAATATAAACACACCCATTTCCCCATGATAAAGTTTAAGTTGAGCTTTGTTCGTAGGTGAGTCGAATGCAGTTATTAATAGATTTCGGCTGAGCGATGAAACGTAGACATACAAAAAAAGAAAAAGCCCCCCACCCCCTCCCGGCCCTCGCGTCGTCCTCCCGAGGGCGACTCGGGGGCGACTAGGGTTTCCCCCACGGCACCACCCCCTCAATCCCAACCCCTCCTCGCCGCCACCTGAGGGGATCGACGGGCAAGCCTGGTGGGTCGTCGATGAAGGTGGCGGTGAGGTGTTGCGTTGCTTTGTGCCCCCGTGAAGGACCTGGAAGCCGGGGCGGCGGCCCCGGACGGCGAGCCGGCGCTGCCTCCCCGACTGGCGGCGCACGCAGGAAGTGGTGGCCGGCATCCTCGACTGCCCGGGCAGCGAGGATACGGCGGGCGGGCGCGGCGCAGATTCCCTCTGCCCCAGATATGAAGGTCAGGCGCCCTCCTCCCCTGCTCTCTCCTCCCCTCCAGTCGTGCCCTTCCACGACTCTGGTCGCCAGATCCGTTGTTGGCGGGGTGCGGGTGCTCAGGTTCGAGCCCGGGGGAAACCCTTGGCCGGTCCTTCGGCCACGACGGTGATGGCGCGCGTGCGCGTCGTGTTCTTCCCTGGAGGCGCCGTTGAGGGCTCTCCTCTTCACCCCCGTCCCAGACCCCGGGTGAAAACCCAAAACCCGTCTCGGGTTGGCCGGCGGCGGCGCCTTGTGCGTCGCGTCCTCTCATTGGAGGCGTCGTCTGGGGTGTCTGGTTCTTCGGGAGAGGGACGATGTGGTTGGTGGGCGTTCGTCGGCTGCGAGGCCAAGTTTGCATTTTTCTGTGGAGGGTGCTCGTTTCTGCAAGAACGGGACCTGGTGCTCCCCTGCTCCGCCTCTTGGCCTCTGCACTTTCTTCTTCGGCGACCTCCCGACGGCTATCTTTCTGCTCTTGGTTGTTCAGGAGAGGTGGCAGTGCAGCTGTGGTGTGTGCCCGCGGCGTGACGAGGGTTGTGCAATTTGTCTGCAAAGGGGATCCGGCTGGCGTCTGCTCTAGTTCTCGGGTGAGTGCCAAGGATCCAACGGTGTGGCACCTTCGAGCCTAGGCAAGAGGAAAGGGTTCCTCTTCGGCGTTGGGAGCGATGTTCTTCCCTTGTCCTTGGGATCAGACAGTTCACACCCTTCTCTGGCTATTGGCTGATCATCGAGGCTTCTCTGTTGCTCCTTTCTGTGCTAACTATGTGCAGTAGGCTTCAACACTACTAGCAGGGCTCTTCATGTATTTTCTTTCTGCTATAGTGTGGGTTGCATTGTTAGCTGTTCACTAATCTCCATTGTATCTTTCGGTCACTATTGCTTGGTGGCCTTGTGTAATCCTGGCGGGTTGATGGCTTCGTTAATTCAAAGTCGGGCTTCCCTTGAGCCTTCGTTCTAAAAAAATTGATTTCGGCTGCAGCTAGAGCCGAACGGATGTTGTTGCTAATTGAGCTAACTGAAGCCAATGCAGGACAGCAGCAAGAAAGAAGGGTAGAGTAGCAGAGAGAAACGAGACGGACCATAGGTATTGTGCAGTCACTAGGAAGCACTCAAGATTCTCGCGCGTACACCAACTCACCTCCGGCCTCCTCTACTCTAGCATCCCACTGCACTTCAAAATCCAACAAAATTTGAACCAAATGAATACAAACGTAGAAATTGCAGTGAGATTTTTTTTGACAGAAAACAGCAGGGTAAGAGCATCTACAACCGGACCACTCAAAACTATCTGCCCGGACACTGTCTAGTCATAAAATTGTCATCCAAGGCCCCCCATACCCAGCCCAAACGTCTAGGGCTGTTTGGCACCCCGCCCCCAAACCCAGCCCATATGTGGTGTGGATATGGGGCGGACCGGACACGGTCGCCACGTCGGATTGGAGACGCCTGGCACACCCCATCCCCACAAAATCGCATCCCATTCGCAACCGGATTCAAACCCTAGCTCACTCTTGTCCTCTCCTCTCCCCTCCACTCTCAACTCCCGTCCGCTCCCCTCCCCGTCCTTTCCCCTATCTGCACCACCATTGCCACCTCTGGTAGCCGATCCGGTAATGAGGTGGACCCCATCAACTTGGAAACTTTGTTGGCGGAGGAATTGAGTGACTCCCCAGACGACGAGGAGCTCGCCCCTCTGCCGGTCGCAGGTGGACAGAGGAGGGAGCACAAACTCCATGCCATCCTCGATTGCCTGGAGTGGCAGATCCGTGCCTAGCGCGCCAACTCATCATGGTTTTCACTGGCCTATCGCCCTCCGCGCCCTTCCTCTTAAGATTGACTTCGAGAAATCTTATGACAAAATCAAGTGGTTTTCTCTCCAACAGACCTTAGCTCGAAAGAGCCCTAACCTCTCCCTTCATAAGATAAAAAAGGATGCCAATAGCCAGCAATCAGTTACCAACTAATGGAGATAAGATCGATGAGGACTTGAGGGTTTGTGCTCTTAATCATTTTTCTTTGTCCTTTAAGTTAGATGATAGCCGGTCAGTAGGGCTTACTCTATTGTTTGCATTGCAGATTGAGGTGTTTCTCCCTCCACAACCGAAGATGAGTGGGAGATTGGAATTGTATCATGAGAACTACAACATTGCCATAGTTAGTGTCAAGAGTCCTCTCAATGATATTTCTCCACATGATATCTTGAGACCACTGGGAAAACCGAAGTCGCCTGAAGTGGTAGTAGCTATTGGGCGTAACCCTAATGAAGGATTATTAATTGCCACAACGGGTGAAGTGGAGCATAGATACCAACATTGCAAGCTTATGTGCAAGGCCCTTAAGCTATCCACTTGCCGAATAAAGAAAGTACAGAAATAAATTTCTCATGCTATCCTTCCTTTACTTGTTACTGGTGATGTAGATTGTTGCATCGTATTCTAATTGATTTGTCTCTTCAATCTATGTGTGCTTCTTGTTTGTATTAGGCTGGGATTGGAGGGCCTCTTATAGATTTTCATGATGAGAATTTCGTTGGCATGAATTTTTATGATGGAAGTTCAACAACTCCTTTCCTGCTGAGGAGCACTATTCTAAGAGTATTAAACAATGGGGTTGATCTTCCATCCAATAGGTAAATTATTTTATGTATACATTTGTTTCAGCAAAGTCACATACATAAATGTTGGAGCACAAACTGACATACATAATTTTGGAGCAGAGGATTAGCCGGTCCCATGAGTCTGATGAATAATGTTTAATGTTTCAAATAAAGACCAGTAATCTTTTTATTCCATGTTGTCATTTGTTTGTATCAGCACATGCTATGTATTCAATGATTAACTTGTATCTTCAAAAAATTGATGTTGATGACAGGTGGCTTGTGCCAGAGGCATATTGGTATCATGGTGAACTTGAGATGGATAAGAGTGCTCCACCCCCACATGTCAGAAGAGTTCCGCGGTAGAGAAACCATATAAGTGCCTTTGGAATTTGGAGTGCTATGTATAATATTGTCCATAATTTACAGGACCTGTACATAACATTGTGCTATTTAGTTACCACGTTCTATCGAATATGCAAAAGGTTATTCGATTTGTTGTGTATCTTGTACATAACATTGATTCTAGTTGTGTAACAGTTTGCAGAACCGATATAGAGTGTGTTTAAAATGTGATATAAGTGAAGAATGGATGAAAGGTGCCGAGCTCATTTCCCAATTTAGACCTATAGCACTGATTAATAACTTTGCCAAGTTTCCAGCGAAGGGTTTTGCCAACCGTCTCACTCTGATTGCTAATAGGACTATTAGTTAGTTTCAGTCCGCCTTCATCAAAGGCCGTTTTATTCTCGATGGGATTCTTTGCCTTCATGAGATTGTGCATGATCTTAAGATTCGTAAGTCTAAAGCGGTGATTCTTAAGCTGGATTTTGAGAAAGCGTACTCGGTTAGCTGGCCTTTTCTTCGAAAGGTGCTTCTTGCCAAAGGCTTTGATGGAGCCTATGTGCACAGGGTTATGCAGTTGGTCTCAGGGGGCTACACTGCGGTTTCTGTTAATGGTCAGATCAATAATTATTTTGCCAATGGTCGGGGCCTACGGCAAGGGGACCCTACCTCGCCTATCTTGTTCAACTTTGTCGCAGATGCCTTATCTCGTATTCTTTCCCGAGTAGCTGCTCATGGTAACATCTCACCAGTCATCTCTCACCTCATTCCAGATGGGGTTACCCGCCTCCAATATGCAGACGACATGATTATTATGGTTGAGTTGAATGATTCCTGCCTTGCTGACCTCAAGTTTATTCTTCTTTGCTTCGAGGCCTTGTTGGGTTTGAAGATTAATTTCTCTAAAAGTGAAGTCATTGTGACGGGTGTGGAAGACGCTGAGGCCCTTAGAGTGGATCACCTCCTCAATTGTAAGCTGGGATCTTTTCCTTTCAAATATCTAGGTCTTCTGTGGCTACAGTGGGTAACAAG